AAAAAAACCCCCACAAACTTATCCTCTGCGCGGTAAATTAAACTCTAGTTACATACAGGAGGCTCCTGTAGAGCCTACCAAGCTATTAACAGAGCAGGAGATAATTATACATTAACCCCTTAAGTACGGAGCCAAATGTACACGTTGTGAATGAAACAAAATGTAAACAAAACCTGGCATTTGCGCTACATGTCTGTCCAACCGTAATTCACCTATTTCATAGTAAATGCACCCACCCTTATTATATATCATTTTATTCAGGGGAAACAGGGCTTTCATTTAATATCAAATATTTAGCTATGAAACAATTTAATATGAAAAAAATGGGAGAAAATAAGATTTTTTTATTTTTTTAGTTCTACATGACATTTTAACTGTGAATGTCATAATAGTGTTTGCTTTTACTGCAATAAAATACACATATTTTTATTCAGCAAAGTCTCACGTGTAAAACAGTACCCCCTATGTACAGGTTTTATGGCGTTTTGGGAAGTTACAGGGTCAAACATAGCATGTTACATTTGAAATTGAAATTCGCCAGATTGATTACGTTGCCTTTGGGACTTTATAGTAGCCAGGAATGAAATTTACACCCATAATGGCATACCATTTGCAATAGTAGACAACCCAAGGTATTGCAAATAGGGTATGTCCAGTCTTTTTTAGTAGCCACTTGTTCACAAACACTGGCCAAAGTTAGCGTTTGTTAGCGTTAGTATTTGTTTGTGTGAAAAATGCAAAAAACGCCAATTTTGGCCAGTGTTTGTTACTAAGTGGCTACTAAAAAAGACTGGACATACCCCGTTTGCAATACCTTGGGTTGTCTACTATTGCAAATGGTATGCCATCATAGGGGTAATTTTCATTCTCTGGCTACCATAGGGTCTCAAAGGCACCGTAACCAATCTGGCAAATTTTAATGTGAAAAAAATGAAACGCAAGCCTTATATTTGACGATGTAACTTTTGAAAACACCATAAAACCTGTACATGAGGGGTACTGTTGTACTCGGGAGACTTCACTGAACACAAAATATTTGTGTTTCAAAACAGTAAAAAGTATCACAGCAATAATATTGTCCGTGTAAGTGCTGTTTGTGCATGAAAAATGCAAAAAACTTCACTTTTACTGGCGATATCATTGTTGTAACACATTTTACTGTTTTGAAACACTAATATTTGTGTTCAGCGAAGTCTCCCGAGTAGAACAGTACCCCCCATGTACAGGTTTTATGGTGTCTTGGAAAGTTATAGGGTTAAATATAGTGCTAGCCAATTAAATTCCCTTTACTTTCGGCATGGGTTGTCATGCAGGTCCCACTAATTGTAATTAATTAAGATGCCTAATTATGTAAAAATATTATAAATATATATGTAGAATTAATATATGCCAATCATACCACAAGACCACGCTTTCACATCCAGAGTACTTTCCCCTTTTTTCCACACTTCCAACATGACGATCAGAGGATGTCCCTAGACACCTCAGCAACAGCAGACCTGCACATGGGGGGGAATTTTTTAACCACTTGGTATGGTAATAGCATGTTCCTTCCAGGATTGTCTGACACTTCTCCAACCAGATGGTCAGACGCAGCGCCTACCACGGGTTTGGCAGCGATCTACCGGGAACAATTGCTTTGGAGCTGTTGGCGATGGCATCCAGGTTTGGAAATTTTTCCACCACTTCAGCCCCTTTGGGAGATCTACCCCATTGTAGCAGCTGCTGAGGCATGGGGTAAATCATGGTCAGGGTCATCAATCCGTTGTTACTCAGGCAACTAAGCATATGTCATATCATCAACAAACGCCACTACTCATCCATAAGGTCATGATATTTCTGGGGAACTCACTTGGTTGGCCACTTATCACATTTCACTTTCATGTACCAGACGGGGTATACATCCCTGCCGACAACTGTCTCATTTATATTCCAGGCATGTTCATCATACGCTTCCTACAGCCGCCCATACAGTCACGTCCACTCTTTCGTTCCAGAGACAAAATCATGGATTAGACATACTCATGCAGCATAGCATGCACTATCCCACCTAGCACTTTCGTCCCATACTTGTAGAACACAAAACACAGCTTTTCACCTGGCTTAAAGAATCTCATTGGCACACGACATAGCTCAACCTGTGTCATAACATTTCTCCTAGGTTTTGCTTCTTTTTGCCACCTTAAACTTAAACTCTCACACACCATTAATTATATATTTTACAGGCATTCAACAACACAGGATAACCTATGGCCAAAACTACCATAACTTCATGCTATCATACCAGACAAGAATATACTCAGAGGTTTTCAGGAATCCATTCCCCTACGTTCCTCTCAGAGATTACCAATAGCCATCCAACTTTTCATCATTATCGGACCTATTAGATCTACAACCATTCAATTATACTACCAAGTCAGCCATTACCAGCTATGCACATTGCCTTTTATGCCTTTCTCAGGCCAGAGAATCCACTACCATCACCACCACTCAGACAGATCATTGTCTCCAACAATCCCACGTACGTAAACACATATATCATTACCTATTGGCTCTACCACATTCCGAAACGAGTCAACACGCACCAACAGTAGAGATAACATACTATCCTACCCACAACAAATGGTGTCCACTTTTGGTCCTAGATTCCTACCTTCAAAATCCTTTCAGGAATTAAATACTGTAATGCTTTTAAGGAAATGTCTGGTTAATTTGTATATATTTGTTGACTGTATTAAATCTTTGATTATTCATTTTTGCCCTCTTTATTTACAGGCCTACCGTATCGTCGGTCTCGGCACACCACAACCGACTTGCTCCCTTTATACTATCCTATGCTTATGCTGGATCCTTACTCCATATACGGCTATTTGCCCCTTACACAAATATACTTATGTGTGTGTGTGTATATTTTATTTTTTTACACTAATACATTTTATTTTCATTTTATTTCCAGCCAGCAGGGGGACCACCTGTAATTACAGGCAGCCCCCCTGCTGGCAATACAGAAGCCAGCTATCCCCGGCCATGTGATTGTGGGGTCCTCGCTAGGACCTCACTCTCACATGGCCGGGGGGCTTCGACGAGGACGGATGTGCCGCGGGGGGCTCCCTGGGAGTCCCTCCCACCGCGATCTCCGGCGTGGGACCGCCAGCGACCGGGTAAGTAGGCAAAAACCGGAGGCCGTACAATTACGCCTGGCAGCGTTTAGAGCTGCCTATAATAGGGCGTAATTGTACGCCCTCCGGTCTAAAGGGGTTAAACAGAATTTACAATAAGAGTGTAAACATTAGCCGACTTTACAGGAAGTCTTTAGGAAGGCTGTGTAAGTCACATACAGGGAGGAGTGCCTAGGGCTGCATACACAAAGTGATTTAACTCCTAACTGGCAGATAATTGAGCAATGAGACTGCAGGGGCATAGTCTATACACAAAAACGTCTTTATTAAGCTAAAGTTGTTTGTGACTAGAGTGTCCCTTTAATGAAGAACCCATAAATGATTATGGAAACAGATACAGTAAATAGCACACAAAATATTCATTGTTACACCTATTCAAGTGCTTCTTGTTAATTGGATAACTTGGCTGGAATCTAGCAAAAAGACAAACCTAAGAAAATTGAGACAAACAGTTACATGTTATGGATGTTGAGCTGCAATTAATCACAGCCTCTAGTTTTTCTATGCCATTTTGGTATGGTCGAAGTACAAGAAAAGGAGCCAAAAAGCCCAGAGTACACAGAACATACAGACAGTATTTGAGGAAAACCTATTGTAGAAGGAGAAGACCACCACCCTGGCTACAATCTGTAGCAAGCAGAAATCAGACACCATTCCTCCAGCAACAGTGGGTGGAGGGTGCAAATTACTGTGGCAGACACCTCTAGCAAAGAGCAAGAAACAGGCGGACATCCCTCTATCCGCCTGCTACAAGTTTTGAAGATTTGGTTTTTGTTCATGTGCCTGCTGTCAGAAGTAGTGGTTACCGGTCCATAGTTCCCAGAGTAGTCTCATGATTAATTGAAGCCAGTAAGTGTAGTGATGGAGAGGTCTGCTCTTCATTTATATCAGCGCATTGTAAAAAAATTCAAATATAAAACCAAAACTATAGTTCCAGGGTAATAAATATGCTTGTGACAGAGCTGCTCTAAATATTAATTTATAATCTCCCATACTCTAGATACCCTCACAGTCCTAGCACTTTAAAGAATTTTTAAAAAGCTAATAATTTGCAAATTTGTATCCAGTAAAAGGGTACTAGCTCTCACTAAGAGCCATCATACCGACAGATGTCAAGAAGACTTTGCTAAACCTCCAGTGCCAAATCTATGACATTTTCAACACAAGTTTATTTTGGTTTTCTATCCCATTATTTGATCTCCCTCCACCGAAAATAATTGGGTAATTTATGCCAAAGTTATGGCCATCTGTAGAGGAGTGAGGAACCCAGAGATACACTTCGTTCTAAACATGCATACAAACCAAGTGCGCTTCCATGACATGACGATTGTTTACTGCATATAATAATTTAGTTTAAACTCTTCAGTACAACCAACAACTATGGAAATTGAATATTTGAACGAACGAGCACGAGGAGTGATTTTATATATTTTAAAAACTATCAAATATTTGTGAAAGAAAGTAGTTTCTGAACAAATTCTGGGAAGGGATGCTGAATAATGATCACCTTCTATCTCTTTGGGACGCTATTACTGCAACAAATTTACAAATCAGTAATATTCTCTGTATACGCACAAGGATAACTTGTCTTGTGTTTGTTGATGCAAGTGTCGCATAACTGGTCTTACTGCCACCAAATCCATGCAATTCAGGGATGGCGAGTTAACACCAAGGTTGTTACATACATTTTCAACCAGTAACTTACAAAACTGTATTCAGTCATAATGGCTGAAACAAATCCAGCCAAGATCTGACAGTTGTTACAGGACAGCAAGGAGTGTTCCAATGAAATTTTCATAAGCAGACCATTTAAACAAAAAATATCTTTAAATTAATTTATTAGTTCTCGACATTCATAATTAGACAAACATAGAAATGAAGTGTGCTACAATAAAACAGAAGGAAAAAAAAATAGAAGAATTTAGAAATAAAAAAGTTGGGGGAGACAGATCAGATTTTCTCCATTTTTAATATCAGATCATCGCATATTTTTGTCAGTTCCTCAATTTCTTTTGCCTGTAAAGAGGAATAGAGGAATAAGATTTTAGGTTTAACATATTACAGAGCATACACACATACCTGTGACACAACCAGATAAAAGAAAAATGTGAGATGCATGCACCCAGAATGCCATTACTACAGTTTTTTTTTTGTTTTTTTGTTTTTTTAAAAGAAGGGTTGATGTTAAGGTTTATTAATAAACTGGGATTCTGTCTTGTATGACAGACACCAATACAAACATGTTTAAGATGTACCAAAAATATTAAACTAAAGACTGTTCAAAGGCTGGCCTAGGGGAAGCCGCTAGTAGATCAGCTTAACACCACTAATCTAGTGAGCATTTAAATATTACTGCATTTATAGAACATATTGATCTTTGCAATGAATTCATTCTGACAGTTTACGAGACAGGCTAAGAAAACCAATGACAATTTGGTCATTTCCCATGATACCCAGTCATTGTGCAAGTTAGCCATCACCAATCAAGATATATAGTCCAGCTCAGTGGTCCCCAGCTGTTAAAGTCTATATGAATCAACATGTTACGATGTTCTAAGACTTGCCTTTTGTTCCAGGGAGCGCTCCAGTGACTGGATCTTCATTTGCTCTTTACGCAAGGTGCATTGTAAAACAACTGTCTCACTCTTTGCTTTATTTCGCACTTGAGCAATTTCTTCGTTTGCACTAAAGAGAAACAAAGTCATTTAATTCAGCTGAAAGGAAGACCAAATCCAATAAAGAGAATTACTTTAATATAAAAAAAATAAAAAAAATAAAATAAAAGTTACACATCACATAAGAATTGGTGTTTATAAACTAAATAGTACACAGGAATACAGAGTTCAAAAGCTCTAAAGTCACAAATTTTAAAAGTTAAAACCGTTACCAATTCAATTTCTCTTCTGCGTGTGCTTTAAGTGCTTGATACCGCTGCTCTTCCTTTTTGATTCTTAAATGGTAATCTTCAACACATTTCTTCAAAGTCTCCTCATTCTAAAGGAATAGAAACAAGAGGGAAGGGGTGGTTACAGGCACTGGAGAAATACATTCACACTGATTACATTCTATTGTAAACACAAAACGGAGAGTCCATTTCAAATCCCACTGTGCTTTATTGTTGGTTAATGAGACTCTAGAGCAGGCTTCCCCAAACTCTGGCACTCCAGATGTTGCTGAACTACAACTCCCATGATTCTCAGACTATTCAGTTCAGCAACATCTGGAGGGTCGAAGTTTGGGAAGCCTGCTCTAGAGTCTCTGAATGTGTAAGAACTGCCACTTCTCCAATAGTGTCAGTTCCTCGTTCTTTCACCCAGCAAACACATGTGAAGCACTTTAAGTGCATGGAGCAGAGTTTGGACACACAAACAGGACTTTAAAGGTCCAGGAGTCGTTTATCAGTGATGCTGATGGAGCTCCCTGCAATCTTAGCACCCATGTGTTTTCAGTATTCTTGCATTCACACGCACTGGTGAAAAACAAAGCACCATGGAGGCCGGGGGTGGAATACAGCAAGCTTTGGTTGCAACAGGTCATACAATTTAATGTTTACATGGCAGCGCCAAGTCTGCCCTGGCATAGAACAGGTTACATTACCCTGAAGGGGGGAGGGAGGTCCTAAACAAGAAACTCACGGATCAGGAGATGTTTTGGATAAACAACTTAAACACACTATTTCCTTGGGTTTAAATGCAGCGTTTGAACGGTCCAATATCCTATAATATACATTTATAGCCATAAGAGGATCTTTTTATCAATATTTTCAGAGTTATTTTTGCTAGCGATCTATGCTTAGATTTTTTAATACATACAACGTATATGAATATTTTTACATTGTTTAGTCATAAGGATATGTAATTACCTCAAGCAGGCATTAGGATTTATTAGCGTTATTCCACTTTCATTAAATTCTATTTTAATATTGTAATAAAAAGAGTTAAAAGTTTTACTTTTTAGTTTAGAGGTAGCAGATTATGGTTTTCACATAAGGAAACAGTCAAGTTTTATTTTTTATTGTATTGGAAACACATCTGATCAATGCCTATATTTATATGGTATATAAGAAATAGTTGTACTTCCCATAACCTACTGTTCCTGAAATGAAAAATTAATTTGCACATATATACTAAAATCAATATAGTTATCACCCATTTTGTAATTGTACTATTAACTATGACACTATGGATGGACTTGTATCAGTCAACATACAATTTTATCAAGCTCTACAGATATACAGGACTGTATGCCTTTAAGAGTCAATAACTAGAAACTGCGATAAGACATGTATAAAGCTGCCCATCACGACAAAGCTGGCAGGACAAAAAGACTTTAATGTGTCACATGGCACAAGATGCGGAGCTTCCCCCCATGCTGAGATATCTGCCTGGCCGATCTAGGTAGGCTTTTGTTGTCAAGGTGGGCTTGCAGATGAGGGAAGGGAAGTGTAGTTTGTATATCCTGATGTGAAGTGAAAATAAAGGCAGTTGCGGCTTGTGCCAAGAAAGAAGCTGGTTGTTTTTCCTTGCTGTAACCATCCAAGATCAGCTATAATGTGAATGCTGGTGGATAAAAAGACTCCAAGCATAGGCCATAGCACTATGTATAGTGATCAGCGGTGTGAGTTAATGGATGTACACACAGATGCTATGAAAGGGACACTATAGTCACCTGAACAACTTTAGCTTAATGAAGCAGTTTTGGTGTATAGAACATGCCCCTGCAGCCTCACTGCTCAGTCCTCTGCCATTTAGGAGTTAAATCCCTTTGTTTATGAACCCTAGTCACACCTCCCTGCATGTGACTTGCACAGCCTTCCATTAACACTTCCTGTAAAGAGAGCCCTGTTTAGGCTTTCTTTATTGCAAGTTCTGTTTAATTAAGATTTTCTTATCCCCTGCTATGTTAATAGCTTTCTAGACCCTGCAAGAGCCTCCTGTATGGGATTAAAGTTCAATTTAGAGATTGAGATACAATTATTTAAGGTAAATTACATCTGTTTGAAAGTGAAACCAGTTTTTTTCCATGCAGGCTTTGTCAATCATAGCCAGGGGAGGTGTGGCTAGTGCTGCATAAACAGAAACAAAGTGATTTAACTCCTAAATGACAGAATTGAGCAGTGAAATTGCAGGGGAATGATCTATACCAGGGGTAGGCAACCTACGCCACACTCGAGGTGCCTTTGCACGGCTGCTAGAGCCAAACAGGGTCTGGCCTATCAGGAGTCCCAGTAAAACTTCAGACATCTGCTAATCCGAAAAGGTGGTGAAGGACAATCCTCAATTTATGCATTGCAGCACGTAGAGGAAGTGATCTCAGATCATTTCCTCCCAGCACTTTTGAATGGGAATCCACACAGTAGTAGAGCAGCACGCAGTTGCTGTTGCAGCTCCTGTCCTTGACATGTACCTGGCCGGCATGGTCCCCACTGGAACCCAGCGAAGTCACCCACACTGCTAGATATACACAGAAATGCAGAATAACCCTCCTCTCATACAGATAGTACGGACAGCCCACACACAAAACATACATGCTTTGCCCAGGGTCCAGTCGATATTAAAGACGGCCCTGCATATACAACGACACAAAGCAATTACAGTAAAAATAACACAAGCAGAATACAGCAGCATACACACCTCAATTTAAAAAATAAATAAATAAATAACGGACCGCACGCTACGAGACATCACAATCCTATATCGGCACAGTGCTGCTAAAAGGTTGCCTACCCCTGATCTATACACTAAAACTGCTTTATTTAGCTAAAGTAATTTAGGTGACTATAGTGTTCCTTTAAGCCTTTGGCAACAGATGCCAGGGCCGTAACGTCACAGCATTGATATCGCGAGCGGCCTTCTTCGAAGCTCCAGGTTATAGCAGCAGTTTGTGGTCTGAGAGTTCCTCCGAGTTTCGGTGTTTGCCATCTCGGCTTCAATGGGGATACCAACGCATGGAGCTGTAACCTACCAATAACGCTATTGTAGCGAGGCTGATGCTGTGGTTTTTAGAAACTATACCACATTTATTTATATAAGTGTTCTACATGGGGAAATGTGTTATTGCTGGAAATAAACTGCAATATTACACCATGTGCGCTTTTTTGTATACCTTATAAGGTACCTCGCATTTACATTTATTGGATACATTTGACTGGCATGATATACCGGACATCCCTGAACTAGTCAACATTAATTCAGATGTTGACTCAATGAGTTAGAATTCCCCAACATATAAGGCTATACAAATATTAGTGATACCCCAGATTGACTCAGGGTGGAGTATTCACTAAGCGCGGACACTGTATATTCTAATGGTTTTGAACTTGGAGAGTCCCTTTCGATGTTAAGCTGCTTTAGTATTTTCTTTAATATATTTTAATTTGTTGTATTGTTTATTTTCTGCGCTCCGTGTGTTTCTTTGCTTTTACATAACAATATTTAACAGTTATAATGGTGCAAGCTTTGCTCACCATTTAATAAAAGCACTAGTAATACAAACCTGTATTCCTAATGATAGAGTGCGCGGTCCATAATTACACGCAGGCTTTACTTGGTCAGTGCAGCAGAAATGCCTCTATGGGCTGTCAAGTACAAAGCAGTTTGCACCCTCTGAAGCAAAGATCTGTGCATACTGGTGCAGCAAATAAAACTAGCACAGGGTTTTACACCAAGGAAAAAATAAATGGTTACCTAAAGATAGTCTCCTTAATGGTTGCCCAGTCAGTTGTTTAATGATCTTACCTTGATGGGAAGAATGGAGGAAAAAATAGAAATAAGAGTATTACCTTGCGATAGCCATCAATTATTTCTTTCTGCTTCTCAAATCTTTTGAAAAGGTCAGAAAAAGACTTTTCCATAGAATTTAAGTCCATCTGTACTTGTTGCTTCTCTTCCAAGACTTTTTGTAATTCTTGCTTTGTCAATTCTTTTTGTCTCTGAGAATCCTCTAAAAAAATAAATAAATAAATAAAAAAATAAAAAAAAATAAAAACACCTTAATATTTTGGTCTGTTATAGTCTTTCAAATTAAAGAGTTATACAGAACCTTTTGTTACTGTATGCAGACTACAATAAAATATTTAAACACAAGTTAAAGAGTTGCACCAAACACCATTGCCACTTCTGCATGCAGAAGTTGTCATGGTGCAAGGAGTCGATAAGTGTAGGGAAATAAGGAAATGCTGCCAATACAAAGGTTAGCATCACAGCTGCTGGAGGTATGGTTACACTGGCAGCAAAATACAGTAAGTTTAGAACGCTGTTCCAGACTTCTAAATGTTAACCATGTGCATAGCAAGCTGGTGACAAATATAATCAGCCACTTGACCAAGCCAGCGATGTGAACTCTTTAAGAACGTGTGCGCACAGTTGAACCTATTGAAATGGTCAGGGATTAGCAGGGAGATGAGCGGCTACTTGGCGCGCTGCCTGCGAATATACACTGCATAGTGTTCAATAGGTCTGATTGAGAGGCATTCGATTCTATCCATCAGTGACATACAGCATCCAGCAATACAGGTCTTTGAAGAGTTTGATTGTAGAGCAAAATGAGCAGTGATGTGTGAAAGTAGCTGCAGGGAGAACTTAATCCATCTAACATTGGGACTATTTTAGGTTTTGAGTAACAAAACAAAAAAAAGGGGGGCACTCATCAACAGAATCACTACATGTTGAAGCAGCTTCTTCTTTGGACCTTTTATCTTTCAAGAGCTTTGGGTTTGCCAACACACCATGGATATTAACATGTGAATCTACAAGAATAAGAGAGGGTACTTCTACTCATACATCTCTAGGCAGCGTTGCACATGATGAAGAACCCTTCACTCAAATAAAATTAACTAGAATCTAGCCTTCCCGGTTAGGTTATCCCTTGCAGTGTGTCCAATACTTCCGGTTGGACAGGTTACATGAAAGAAAGTCTATTGCTATTAGCAGGTCTGCTTGCAGCGTGATTTATCAGTTTGTAAGAGAACTGCAAACCAAGCAGTTGATAGTGGACTCAGTGGTACAGCCCAAGTATTTTCCTACATAGCACATTGTAAACGTTACATGCAGGTATAAAGGTTTGGCAATTAATATTGCGATAAGCGCATATACTTTAAACTTACCCAGTATCTGTGTTATTGTGGTTTCAAATTCAGCAATTATTTTCCTGGAAGAAATTACAACCAATTACTTTCCAATGCATTAAAGCAGGATTGGTATAAATAAAAGCAATTTGCTAATACTAATCAGTTATAAAAAATTAAAATAAAACCAATGCAAAGATTGCCAAGATTACCAGCAGGCTGCACACATTGTGAGTTACAGGACCTGAGTCACGTCAATATGAAAAGGTAATTAAGGGCAGCTCACATCCCCAGTTTTGCAATTGGTTCTACCCAGAACCTTTAGCAACCTCTGATTGGGTAACCATATATTACCGTACTGCAGAGATGGCAAATCTTGCCACTCAATGTTCAGGAACTTAATGCACAGACAGCCTTGGAGAGCCATAATGTTTAGGGTTTTATTTCTATATTGATATAAAGACAAATCATATAAATTTCAAGAAAAAAAAAAAAAAGGATATATAAACCAATCAATAAGTTGAAACACTGGCTTTTGTATTCAATTCATTCTGCGTTGGATGTACCCAGTGTGCCTGGAACTTTCTATTTTTTGTGACTGGAAACAATGTTATATAACCCTAGTCTGTGTGGCACAAGGGGTGGATCCAAATATCAAGTGTGTGCAGTTTGCATTTCAAAAATACAAAAATATAGTGCTTAATATAATTACTAATCTTGGCATCCCGGAGGTGGATAAGCATCATGAGAATAGTAGGATTACCATTTGCTATAATGCTATAAGAGGGGGAAAATAAATAAAGCATTTCCATATGTATTGGCACTACCATCCATAGTGGTGCTGGTGTCAAGGTAGCCCACAAATATATCCTAGATAAATCTGCGATACCGCACTCTAAATAAATTATAATATAATATATATATAAAAAAATTAAAGATAAAATATAAGAGTATTTAGCTATAGGTACTGTAATCATGTATATTGTTACAGTCCTGTGCTCAAAAGCAGAGCAGATATGTACCTCTATTGTTCACCTTCAGAACAGAAGGGGGTGAGATCTGCCCAATAAGGCATTTCCTTTATATCCAAGGATCTGGATATATTTTTTGCCTTTTTAGCACGCGCGCACACACACACACACACACACTTTATATTTATTTTCACACTTTTTTCAATATTTTTAGAGGCATCTGCCCAACAAGATACTATAGTTTTACTGACAGATTATATTGCATATTGTGTGACTTGGGACCATAGGGATTTTTTTATCACGGTTTTATATGTCAATAGTACCAACATGTATAGATCATTTTGATTATGCAATTGTGCAAGTGAACAATATTGGTACATATCAGCTCTGCTTTTGGGCAGAGGACTGTAAGAATACACAGGATTACAGTACCTATCTAAATAAATACTACTTTTTTGCATCATATCAAGAGTGCGGTATAACATATTATAAACAACTTTACATAAAAACCATAGACACAAACCAGCTACCACAAGCTACACAAATTTGGCATGCAGTACTGCTGCCAAGTGTCCACGCCATAGCCCCAGATAAGTCACTGGCTGTAGTGCTGCCATTTACATTGCGAGAACACTGATTGAGATACTTGGAAAGCTTACCCCATCTCAATATATTCCAGATACAGTTTCTCATGTTTATGTTTCCATTCCTCAACCTCAAGCTCCTTTTCTTGAACCTGAGTAATGAAGACAAAGAACTACAATTATTTGCAATTCAGAGTTGAAGGACATGCGAACAGTTGTATGTTAAACCAATGTGTGTTTCATTTTGATCGAATCAAATTTTTGTTAATCCACCCCAGATCAATAAAGACTCTACAAACAAAATAGATTTGGTGGAGTGGATTAAAATTAATGCTTTTAGTATGAATCGGCCAAAACAATCTTTTGCACAAGTCTAGCAGAAACAGCAGTAGGTAAACAGATGCACTAGACAGTTTTACTACTCACCTCCAACCGCACATTATCAACAGCTGCATCCATATCCTTCTGGCTGTACTTAAGGACTTCAACAATTGACCCCAAGTCTGAAATTAAGGGGTAAGGATCAGAGGTCGATGCACCTAGTGGCGGATCTGGGATTAAGGGACCAGAATTCTAGGAAGAAAAATTAAAGTAAAAGGCAAAGGCAATTTAGAGCCTGCATTTATTAAATGTCAAATGTAGATTCCCCATTCTATAAAACATTAAGTTTTGCAAGATTATGTAAAACCACAAAACACATATTAGCTTTGGAATCATAGCATTTCTTTTTATTTAGATTCTGCACACCTGCTTGAAGGGTCATCTGATCAAGTAAAAGACACCGTACTGAAAAGGAAGCAATTCTAAACACAGCATGGCTGCTCTGGTAACCAATGTGGGATAGGAAGTTGAATAAGAACAATGAGAGAAGACTGACAGCAAAGCACTGTGATTACGGACAACCTTGAAGAGCACAGCTCTGTAAAAGTAAACTGGACATGCAACTTACCCCATGTACAAAGGTAACAAAAATTTCAAGAGGTTATGTACACAGATATGAAATAGTAGGTCAATGGTTTTAAGTGAGCAAGGAATTTCACTATGTTTTGTGGAGAAATTAAAAATTTTAGACAAGATTTTATAAGCCAAGTAACAATATAAACCCTGCCATAACAGGCAAGTGTTAACAGATTTGGAAACACGGCTGGGATTTTAGATTTAAAAAGTGGTGAAAGTCTCACTGCCATTTGGATTTGGTCAAACCATGCTACCCCAGTGTTGTGCATGATCACCGCATTTATTTAAAAGCAATATTTACTTGGCTGTTAGGGTGTGATGTATGGGTAATAAATTACACTTCTTTCCATATAAAATCATAGCATTATAGATGCATGGCATAGATATGCTATTGCTGTAGGTTTGTGTGCTTTGCAGGGGGGGGGGGGGATTATGCATACTAGTACCATTGAGATTAAAAATAGAATACTAACTGTAGCTGTATATGTCCCCAAGAGATCCAGCCCTTCAGGTTTTTCTTCTGTTTCATGACACGGAATAGGGAATAGGGTTGCATCTGACATGGTCCGAAACAGCTCTGAACTGGAATGACAAGATGATCATTAAATTGTAATAATTGCCGTTATCTGCAAGTAGCATAAAATCCTAGAACATAACCAACCTGTTCTTCATGGGTACATGGATACAGAACTCAGCACCAGCAGGAGCAGTCTTCTTTGGAGATTCCCTCAACAAAGGATCGAATTTCAAATATAGAGACTGCTTTCGGAGGGCAGACTCCTTGAACTAAAACAAAAGGAAATACAAAGTGAATGCAGGGTCCATGTAGTGCAGAAGGTCTTAATGGAAGGAGAGTTAAATAATGCAAGAGAGAACAGTCTCTACAAATGCCTTGGACACTGGAGCAGACAAAATAAACCCACACAACACCAAACCACCGCAAACACACAACTTACTGTAGAAGAGCCAAAACTTTCAAGATAGTCCATTTCTGCTGACTGACCCAAGCCTGCTGTAGAAGGAAAAACTAAAAAAGAAAAAAAGAAATATAAAAAAAATGATCAAAGGCATTATTTAAAATCACATTGGCATTATACACTACTGACCTTAAGAAGGGGGAATAGTAATTTGTCAGGATTTATTTTTACTTGAACCCTCTAGTAAAGCAGTTGGTTTTGTTTTTTAATGGATAAATAAAAACGCTTTTTAAATAGGAAAAACACATTTAGCGCCATCACCTTAGCTCCCTGTTCATAATCAAATGTTGATCTTTTCTACCACTTATAAAAGTTAGTGGAAGAGAGGAAAATGAAGCTCTTTTTACACTAAACTCCAAAACAAAAACAGATTTTGAAAGAGAAAAAATAAATAAATAAATAAACCACACCAAGTTTACCAGCACAACTATACTCTGAATTTGGTTATTTTTACAGAGGTTTTGCCAGTTTGAATTTTTTTCAGGTATTCTGAGTTTACTAAAACTACCCTCACTCTCTTTCTTTGCATCCTCTTTTATATAGTTTACATTTTAATCTCAGTTTATGTTGTAGATGCTTACATTCTGTAGCAGGTTTAAAATCCATTTCCCCCATCATCAAAAAATCATGATCTGTAGCAGGCTTAAATTCTGCATCCAATAGTTCTGGGTCGTTACTTGGGCTTAAGGTCACATCTTTAGGGATTGGAAAGTCCGGCTCATTTGGTAAAGGTTTTTCATCCAGAACCAAGACTTCCTTGCCATCACTTACTGGGTTTACAGTAGTTTCTGCCACCTGAAAGCATATTGTCAAGTTTACATCAAAATAAGGACACGTATTTCAGACAATTTAGAAGCAACATGACTATAGAAAGAAAAAAAAATTATAGAAATACAGTAACATTAGCAGAAGGCTCTTTCATCAAAAGTTACATGGATTTATACTCTAATATAATGGAAGCATAGCAACCACATGAGAAGTGTGGCTGTAGAGGGTTCCTGCTAGGAAGCAAAGGCAAAGACAGTTTTTCATAAAAACGACTGTCACGAAAGCATTCTATTCCAAGAATGTGCATGACGTTGTTGTGGTGGAGCAAAGGTTAAAAGTTCACTATAAATCGGAAAGAAAATACCACACCTAACCAGAATATAAATACTACTATCTTAACGCTGCCACCACCAAGACAGGTTATAAATGGGGTGCCTTGGTCCCCCAAGTAACTTAAAAAGAAAACCCAATAAATAACATCGCACAATATTTAAGCAATTGCAAAACTGTCTTTTCAGGAAACAGGATTTATTTTACCAGACAAAAGGCAGAATTTAAGGAATATTATGAGAAAAAAAAAAAATTAAAAAAAATTTATAGATGACTGATCAAATTAGTTACACCAACAGATAAAACCAAAAAGGGATAAAATAACAGTAGTCCTAATCTGGTAAGAAAGGTGGTGACTCACTTAGAATTAGATTCTAGCCCCCAAGTAAGCGAGTCTCTCTCTCTCTCTCTCTCTCTCAAGCCAAATTGAAACATTTGGTTATATCTCCTCTTATGTACTTGCCACAGAAATAATTGCATCTATGAATTTGATACCATTGTTCCAGTCCATAGATATGTCACACTCCTTACTTACTCCTGACCCAATATAGCAGACATCACAATCCCTTCCTCTATGGTGGTTAAGTTATGCAAATCATGTTTGGGCTTGATTAGAAGCTACTGTTGGTCACATTCAAAATATAACAAAAATAAGGTTTAACTATTCTGTGGGCAAATATTAAAGGAACACTCTATGGTCAGGAACCCAAACATGTATTCCTGACCCTAGTGTTTAAACCCACCATTTAGGTGGCTTGCCCCCTTTAAAAGGAATTAAAAACCCTTATTTCCAGCGCCGAGTGGGTCTGCCAGTGCTAGCTCTGCCCCCTTGGTGACATCAGAATTGTCCATTTTTATCCAATCCAATGCTTTCCCCATGGGGAAAAGCATTGGATGGACTAAAAATCAGATTGGCTTAAATCAGCAAGGGGTGAGAGACGCTGAATTGCACTGCTGCCTACTGTGCAGCACTGAACCAGGAAGAACCTCCAGTAGCCATCTGAGTGGCCACTTGGAGGTGTCCCTTGGGGCAAAATAAACACATGCATAAAAATGCCTGAAGGCAATGATTATACTCACTAGAACAACTACATTAAGCTGTAGTTATGGGGACTATAGTGTCCCTTTATGGATATGATACTGGAACACAAGGCTAATGATCAGTAACATATCAAAGAAATTAACTCCTCAATTAAGAGGTACAGGCCATATGGCTGAAGGTAGTCCATTCACATTGGAACTAGACTTCCAGGCCACTTATGTGTGACTTCTCACACCTTACAGAGCCTTCGAGTAATCACAGGATCAATGTTGTAAACCATCAGCTCCTTTCACATTCCTATACCCTTTACATTACCCCTTCTGTCATCTGACCTTGCAACGAAGTGGCCAATTCATGTATGCACTACACAAGTTACATTAAGTGGCAATATTCTACTGTGCAACAATGAATTACGCACCCTTGGCGTGACAATGACCACTCTCTCCAATCTATAGAACCATAACCACTACCATGGCATAGCAAAGTCAATTTTTATATATAATACATACACTTACCTTTGTTTCATTTTGAATACCGGTGTCTGAATTGCATAGAACTATAGATTCTGCTTCAGACTGGGGGGTCTCAACAAGCCTAAAAAGAAAGAAAGACAGACAGATAAAATATAGATTTAAAAACTGTTAGGCATTCTAGATACAGGATTACCACAACAGTTAGCCATGTGGGGATCAGAGATGCAATACACACACACACACACACACACTTCAGCCAAACTTCTCACAAAATATTTACACAAGGGTAATTGACAGTCTGCCACCACTCAATCACATCCCAAGTTGTCTCTACATGTCTCAAGAGACAGCATTTGGGTAATATGAGAAACGGGAAGCACTGACAAGGTACACACTGCTGCCTGATTTGATAGAGCTGGGAACAGTGTTAACCTTTTCCACCCAAACTCTGTATATCGGGTAGTGATAAGGGCAATAGGAGGTACGAGGGTGAGTACTGAATAAGTCAAGGGAGCGAGCGAGCATCCTCTACAATGCAGAATGTGGAGAACTCTGCTTGTTTGCAGTCCATGGGAAAGAGACATTTTGACACATCTCATTATCACGACATCATGGAGATGGAGAGATAGATATATCAGTTACTGCATTACATGTACCCCGTTCTACTGATTCAGTGGGGCACCAAGAATGAGTGTCTAAAACCTGGCAATCATGAAAGATTTCACATTAGATTGTTACTGTAAGCGTCATACAGCACATGGTATTAGTTAGGATACTAGGAGTACCCGGTACCATTTCACATTGGGCTCTTGCTTGTGTCCCTCTGGACTCCTGATGGTGGGTGAATGACATTAGCCTTTGGAGCAGCAGAAGCAAGAGGAAAAAATAAATAAATAAAAATTTTAATTAAACACGCAACTGTCTCAGACCCTTTGCTTGCTCCAGCTGATCAGTAGATCATTTATTTTTTTTGCTTAATTGGGTATATCCCTCTAAGGCACTGCATCCTGCAGCTCGGCTTTACTCTACCCGGCCATCTCCCTTATACTGTGAGATCGGCTTCCTACTGCCTTGACTGATTACGCAGCTTTATGCTCTACACTAAGCCCCCTCAACCCCATAGTTATTGGGGTATGAGACCTTTCTGTTCCAACTAGTCTGCCTACTCTGGGTACTTTGTGACACTTTGCTCGCCACATCCCATTTGGGCGGAGCTTCTCTAAACACACTAATGAGATCGGCGGTTTGTATATCACGCCCCCATGCGTTCCAACTGTCTCTATGACGACTTGTGGAACGCAATCATACCTCACCTCTGAACCAGTGGTTTTCTTTTGAGAGGGTTGATTTTACCTGCCTTTTTTTTCGCTACAGCTGTAAGCAGACTAGGGGTTAATTGTAAGTACAGGTTGTATACAATGCACTCATGTTAATGTGATTTTGTTAATGTGTTTGTATGTTATTTAAGCATTGGTGTTTGTATTGCACTGTATCCTGCCAACGTTCCATCAGAGAACTGAAACGTTGATTTTTTTTTGGCAGATGCCTGAATAAAAGCCAGGTTTCCCCCCCCCACAATATTTCTGAAGGGACAGACACTATCATTTTGCAGTTTTAAGTGCGCTATCCACTTTGTATCCATTTACAGATTTTATAGTGTTTTTGAGAGGTACAGGGTCAAACATAAGGCTTGATTTTCAGTTCTCACATTGAAAATGGCCAGGTTGGTTACGTTGCCTTTGAGAGCGTATGGTAGCCCAGGAATGATAATTACACCTATGATGGCATACCATTTTGCAGTCCAAGTCACAAACCCTGGCCAAAGTTACCGTTCATAATTTTTTTCCCCCTTTTTTAAAAAAAAAAAAAAAAACACACAAATATAAATGCTAACTTTGCCAGTGTTTATGACTAAGTGGTTACTAAATAGACTGGACATAGCAAGGTAATAAATATAGGTGTCTACTTTAAAAAACACGAACATTTTAACATTAGGGATGCACCACAATGAAGGCTTTTTAGCTAAAAGTAATTTAGGTGACTATAGAAATACCCAATGTTAAAAGAACACTATAGTCACCTAAATTACTTTTGCTAAATGAAGCAGTTTTAGTGTATAGATCATTCCCCTGTCATTTAGGAGTTAAATCACTTTGTTTCTGTTTATGCAGCACTAGCCACACCTCCCCTGGCTATGATTGACAGAGCCTGCATGAAAAAAAACTGGTTTCACTTTCAAACAGATGTAATTTACCTTAAATAATTGTATCTCAATCTCTAAATTGAACTTTAATCCCATACAGGAGGCTCTTGCAGGGTCTAGAAAGCTATTAACATAGCAGGGGATAAGAAAATCTTAATTAAACAGAACTTGCAATAAAGAAAGCCTAAACAGGGCTCTCTTTACAGGAAGTGTTTATGGATGGCTGTGCAAGTCACATGCAGGGAGGTGTGACTAGGGTTCATAAACAAAGGGATTTAACTCCTAAATGGCAGAGGATTGAGCAGTGAGGCTGCAGGGGCATGTTCTATACACTAAAACTGCTTCATTAAGCTAAAAGTTATTCAGGTGACTATAGTGTCCCTTTAACATTGGGTATTTCTAAACTCAGGACAAAAATTTAGAAACAGGTGTTTTTTGGCAGGTGTAGATGTGCAACAGATTTTGAGGGTCAAAGTTAGAAAAAGTGTGGTTTCAAATTTCCCCCCCCCCCTCATCATATTTTATTTATAGTAAATTATATATGATTAAAGACCATTTATTGTCAAAAAACACCCTGTATATAATAATGTGTGTATAGTAAATGAACAAAAGGACAACTCAAACACCGCAGAAATGTAAAAAGAGCCCTGGTCCTTAACGGTAAGAAAATGGACAAACGGTCTGGTCACTAAGGGGTTAAAGTTAGTGACCCCCCCCCCCAATTAGGAAAACCACAATCCTGTAAAAATCCAATATAGTCTCCTGCTACTTAACCTCCACCATGTATACCTTTTCCAGATATTTGAAGTAAAAAAAAATAAAAAAAATAAAAAAAAATACAAATTTTTACAAATCTTGCAATTTTAGCATACAGACTTGCACTTTTGACAGTTTAGGGACCCATAGCATTTCTGGGGCAAAATATCAGACACCCCATAGTGGTTATAGTGCAAGCAGTGCCCTGACATGCCAATGTATAGAGTCAAGATGTTTTGTAATAGTTTCACAAGTGGAGTCTGTCAGGTGCTGCTCCCTGCGCTCTTTGCCAGAGAATCAACAGTTGAAGCAATAGGGCATTCCACCACCAGTTTCTGGCAGATTTAGCAGCAATTCCTCCCTCCACATTACATAATATTTTAATAGTCCAGTGGGACCAACTACTTAAAGCAAACATCCTAGAGTTGGATCCCAGGCTGATAGCCCACAGTGAGAGCTTATCAGTGTGTTTGCATTGCCTGAGCATTCTCCGGTAATCAATGGGATTGGCTGCCAGGAGTGATCACACAGCCTGGGAGCCAATCACCGCCATAGCCCAGCCAGATCTTTGTGTGTGCACCAATTACAGGAAGTGCATCAAGCCCTGTTGCATGAACCAAGGCTACAAATTGCTCTGACAGCTGGTCATATTAATTAGGTAAACAGGACGCCCAAGGTTTGACTCCCACTATTACAAACAAGTTATGTAAAACTACCAGTCACTTTGGCATGGGGTCATTCACTTGGAAAACGTGAATGGCTGTTTGGCAGAGCCCAGGGTAGGGGGTCCAACTGCTGATTTGCCACATAAGTAGAGAGTCTGGCACAGACCGATCTAGCCACAGCTGGCAAACAATTTGGGGGCAATTTAAAGGAGCACTATAGGGACGGGAACATAAACAAGTATTCCTGACCCTATAGGTTTAAAACCCACCATCTAGCCCCCTCGTGCCTCCCTAAATATAGTAAAATGTTACTTGGTCTCTGTTTCCTTTAGACCTGCCCACTGACATTAGCAGAAGTGGTAGCCTGATCCAATTACAATTCCTCCACATAGGATTGGCTGAAACTGACAAAGAGGCAGATCAGGGGCAGAGCCAGCATGATTCAAACAGCCCTGGCCAATCAGCATCTCCTCATAGAGATGAATTGAATCAATGTATCTCTATGAGGAAAGTTCAGTGTCTGCTTGCAGAGGGAGGAGACACTGAATGTTTGGATGCATTTTAGGCAGCCATGACCCAGGAAGGATCTCTAACAGCCATCTGAGGAGTGGCCAGTGAAGTTATCACTAGGCTGTAAGGTAAACACTGCATTTTCTCTGAAAAGACAGTGTTTACAGCAAAAGGCCTGAAGGGAATGATTATACTCACCAGAACAAATGTAATAAGCTGTAGTTGTTCTGGTGACTATAATGTCCCTATAAATGCAAACACATAAAATTGTATAAGACACAAAGGATAGGTCTATCAAAAGTGTGATGAAGCAGTTTTAATGCATAGATAATGCCCCTGCAGTCTCACTGCTTAATCCTCTGCCATTTAGGAGTTAAATCACATGGTTTATGCAGCCCTATTCACTTACTGTAAGAAGAGTCATAATGTTTACACTTCCTTTAATGTAAGTTTTGTTTGATTTAGAATTCCTTATGTGTTAATAGCCTCCTGTATGTAATTAAATATGAGATAAGCATGATCAAGTTTTAAAGGAACACAAACATGTATTCCTGACCCTATATAGCGTTAAAACCACCATCTACCGCCGGTCCACCTAAATATAGTCAAATCTAACCTTTATTCCTGTCTGCTGCTGGCTTTGTCCCGGATCTGCTTCCTTGGCTGACATCAGAAGTGATGACCTGAGCCAACCACAATGCTTTCCCAGAGGAAAGCATTGGATTGGCTGAGCTTGTCAAGGAGGTAGGTCCAAAGTAAAGCCAGCACAGTCCTGGCCAAATCAGCATCTCCTCAGCGATGCATTGAATCTCTATGAAGAAAATTCAGTGTCTCCATGCAGAGGGTGGAGACACTGAATGTCAGTCACACTGCCCCAGAAAGCACCTCTAGAAGCCATTGGAGATATCCCTAGGCTTTAATGTAAACACTGCATTTTCTCTGAAAATACAGAGTTTACTGCAAAAAGCCTGAATATACTCACCAGAAGAAATAAAATAAGCTATAGTGGTTCTGGTGATTTAGTGTCTCTTTAAGAAAAAAGGTTTCCTAAGATTGTTCAGAAAGAAAAAAAAAAAAAACTGACAGATCACATGTTATATATGTTTAAGCCCGCTACCAGTAACTTGAAACCTAAAAATATTGATATTAGGGAACCATTAACATCAGAGAAAGATAAGATCACTGCTTAAATGATTAGTTCAGTTCTGTAGAGCATGACCCTGGGATGAAGGCATGGAGTGTCACTGGTCTTTAAAAGACCCTGTACCATCCTGGAGTGTTAATTATTCAACACTGCAACATTATACAATAAGTGGTGTACACTTTTTTGGGAAACAGCTCTTTAAAATCAGTAGTTCTTAAAAGAGGACAGGATGAAACAACTTACCCGGTCTCATTTAGATCGTTAGCTTGGGCTTGATCCATTACAAGTTTGTCACTTTGCACCATGTCTGAATCTTGGCATTCCACCTTTGGATGACTGTCTTCTTTACTTGGTGTCAAGTCATTTTTGACAGTTGAGGTTGTAAGAGTGGTGCAAATCTTTGAACCTCCAGAGGCAAAAGGATTAAAACTGGGATCATCAAACTTCTCCCAATCAAAGTTGTAAGCTGCCTTTGGCACAATAACTTCCTCTTCCAATGGTTTCTCAACAGCTTTAACCTTTGGTTTTTCAGCTGTTTTTTCTACATTCCCAGACTGTTTTTTGGAAGAACTAAGAGTAGGTCGTTTACCAAGTTTCCTCGGTGGAGGCTTTTTGACAGGAGGATCACCTTCACCAAAATTAAATTCCAACTTCACTGGTCCAGCATTGTCGTCACTTGCATCTCCCGGAGCAGATTTTACAGGTGACTCTTTCAGTTTCGAGCCTCCAGTATTAAATGGATCAATCATGTCTATTTGTTCTGGGTCAAATTTGTAGGAGGATTTGGGAAGAGGTGGAGAACTTGGAACCTCTAATTCTATAGATTCAGTATTTGGGTTGACACTTACAGCATCAACTGCACTGTCCTTTGTGGGACAGACATCCAGATCAGATCCAGTCACCTTGTCAATGTTACTGGTGGTTCCTTCATTTGATACTGTGAGAGAAGAATTAGAATCTCTGGTTGATAAAGGAAGTGTGTCTTCTAATGTGCTTTTTCCAGAGGTGTTGAAGCTTTCATTGTCTAGACGAACAGTTACTGGGGATTCCACATGTGTTGGAGAAGTGCTTAAAGATTTCACAAATGAATCTTGTTTTCCTGCATCCCCTGCAGCTGATTCAGACAGGGTTTTATCCTCCAAACAAGAAGAATCAGGGTAACAGGCAACATCTTTGATAAAACTGCATTCGGATTTTACAGGTGAATTCTGCATCCGAGTAGTGCTCTTGAATGGATTCATCTCATCCAGTTTGTCAAAATCAATATTATATGCACCCATGCTTTTAACTGGTATATCATCTGGGAGAGCGGTTTGATCACATTTCATACTGTGATCTTCTGGATTTGAAGTGCTGCAAAGAGGTAAAAATAAATAAATCAACCAACCCATACTTTAGTGTATAGAGTATTATAAAAGTGCCAAAACCAAAAAGGTACAGGAACTTATGTTTCCTGCACCCAGCCGAATGGAAAGGAAGTGCTCACTGAGAGCACTTCCTGTCAGTCCGGCCGGGTACTGGAGACTGAATCTCATGTACCACGTTGCGCATTGCTCCGCTCAGCCATGCTACCAGGAGACACACCAGGGACCATGGTGGGGAGAGAAGGGCACAACACCACCAGGGGGAGAGGGGAACATTAAGGTACAGGGGAGGGACCACTAAAAGAAGTGAGAGTAACAGGGGAATGGGGGGGAAACTAAGACAGTTAAGGGGTGGGGAGTTCCTACCGCACATAGTCACACTGCAAGTAAATGTACAGAATATCGTTAAGCTATCAGCCTGAAAGTTCACAGATTATCGTTACTGGCTCTAAAAAATAAATAGGTTGATCCCTAGTCAGATGCACAAAAACTTTGGCGACTGTGCCATTTGAATAAACCAATAAATTGTAATTCTTTAAATATATTTTAGTTTTCACAACACCCTGCCAAGTTATTTTATACAGGTCAATGTTGCTGCATATGCCTTTGTTAGAGTGCAAACTGTATCTGGTCTCCTCTAAAGATTTGTGATGTATATAACACTTCGAGACCAACAGATTATATAGAGTTAAAGGAGCTACATGTTAGAATGACTAAATCTTGAAAGAGTTAAATGATTTGTTTCCAGGAAGGGATAGTCTAGGACAATAGACATTTCCCAACCAATCTTTCTGCTGACACAATGGAAGACAGATTTTGGACTGTGTTAGAATGCAAGAAAAGGACCATCAAATAAGTTCATACCCATCTGGCACATAAAGAGTTAAAAGGATTTAAACACAAAAATGGATTTAGGCTAAAATCTGAAAAATCTTTTCAGATTAACTGTAATGCTGGTGCCAGAGTGGAAGTTAGATACATCTGCAATGTAAACTAAACCTTTTCATTTCAGACAACTTTTTGTGCTACTGATAAAAACGGTTTATGTTACCAGTGTCCCAAACACAAGTTCCTAAAGAATTATAACATTCCATGGTTAACCTCAATCAACGCAGGCAAGAGTGATACTTACCAATTTGCATCAGTGACGGACAGGTGAAGCTTCTGCAAAGCTTGTGTGCAGTCCTCCAGTGTAACTGTCTCCACCTTGCCTTCAATGCTGGAAGTAACAATCTTGCGAGTCTGTGGATCTCTCATCGGAGTCTGAAATGTTACCTAACGGAGTGAAGAGAAATGATCAAAAATAAGAACACAATAATAAATATTATATAATCAGAAATGTTCAGATATGCAACGTGGTCTGAGTAGAAATCCACAGCATTCAGATAACCCAGTATCAAACTGTTAAGTCGACTAAAATCACAAAGTCAGATGCAAGTATGAACTTTAATAAACTCACAGCTCACAGGAAGTAGAGGAATGTATACAGAGACAGAAAAAGAAATAAGCACAAGACCACTTAAATGAGAGGTAGATACCTTAATGCTCTTTGCAGCATCTTTCGGTGGCAGATTATCTTTCTGTGATGGACGGAGAATAGAGGGCCTCCCGGTAGGCTGAGGAGCAATGAGCAGGAAGTCACAAGACTCTGCTGTTAAATCACTTCTGACGTTCTCGTCATTTATAAGTTGCACACTCATTCTACAAATAGAAGGAAAAGGAAGGGAAAAAACGTTTACATGCAAGAACTCTGGTATATTTAAAACAATGAAATAAAAAAAAAAATAAAAAAAAATAGTGAAAGAGTTTCTGCAATTTATTTTAACACAGTTTGAAGACAGACTGGGAGTGTATGTGCACTGAAAGGATAAGAAAGTAAATGGTTGAGGATGGGGGGGCATCGTTAGCTAGCCTGGAACAGATATTGGGCACCAGTCATCAGCTCGCACAGATAGCAGGAGTGACATGGCCAGAGGAGTATCTGGCTGCATGGAGAACTTGGCAAAATTAATCCTGATTTCTGTATTTTTTTGTTAATCTTTTGCAGTGAGACCATATCAGTAAGTGTTATTCTAACCAAAAAATGTTTTTATTAGCTTACTAACACTCTCCAAAAAGGCAGATTTGCCAGCGATGGAAATAGACCATGCGGGATAAGACAATAGACCATTTGGGATCATCAGGAAAATTATCTTAGAGGGACATTATAGTCACCAAAACAACTTTAGCTTAATGAAGCAATTTTGGTGTACAGACTATATTCCTGTAGTGGTAATGCTCAATTCTCTACAACTTATGAGTTAAATCACTTTATGTAGCCCTAGGACAACTTCCTGCATGTGATTTACATAGCCTTCAAAATACACTTCCTGTAAAGAGCCAGCTAATGTTTACACATACTTTATTGCAAATTGTTTAATTTTAGAATTTTTTTATTTATTTTTTTATTTTATCTCCTACTCTGTTGATAGCTTGCTAGACCATACAGAAACCTCCTATGTGTGATTTAAGTTAAATTTACAAGACCGAAGATAAAAATAAACCATTTGGTATTCATGCAGACGGTCAGTCACAGCCAGGGGAGACGTGCCTAAAGCTGCATAAACAAAAACAAAAGTGATTCAACTCAAATGGCAGTGAAATGTCAGAGGCATGATCTATACCCAAAAATTGCTTTATTAATCTTAAAAAGTGTTTTGGCAACTACAGAGTCCCTTTAATGTAGTTCTGGTGTTAATAGCCTGTCGATGCAGGCAATTTAATTTAAACACGGCCATTTTAGAGAAGAGGCAGTGTTTACATTGCTCCCTAGGGACACCGTCCAGTAGCAGTCACTCAGACAGCAATTAGGAGTGCATCCTGGGTTGTTCAGCACAGACGTTAACACTCCACATAGTGACTCTGAACTTCCCCCGTAGAGATACATGCAGTCAATGAATTTCTATGAGGAAATTGGCACAGCGTGACATTTTGCTGCGCATGTGCATTAGCCTCCCAATGCTTTCCTATGGAAAAGGATTCCGTTGGTGGGAGATAGTGAGTTTCAATTATCTCAACCAAGGAGGGCAGAGCCAGCACTGGCAGATCTGGTGCGGCCCTGGAATAAAGGAGAGTTTAGCCAATTAAAAGTAATGACTAACAGACACAGATGTTAATTTTCTGTATTTAAAGTAGATACCCAGACATGGCAGCTTCTGCCGTGAGGTCTATTAAAAACCAACCCACACACCACATTAAAGCGGCACTGTCATGCCAAACTTACCTTTCTTAAAAAATAAAAAAATAAAAAAAACAACCCACACGATTCCTGTTCTCTCCCAGGATCTGTTCTTCATTTCTGCCTCTCATTTAATTTTCTTTAAAACATAAGACAAAGTAGGGACCATCTCTGACCTGCGGAGGAACAAAGTGTGCTTCATTTCCGATTGTCAGAGAAATTTTCCCACAAGTCTTAGCTTTCTTCCCTGTTCCCGCAATGCTTCCTTTCACTTTTCCCGAACGTCTTGTCACTTAGACAGGACACCGGCGAAACGGACGAATGGTTTCCTAACAGAATGAGAACAGTTTGTTTGTTCGTGTTAGGACGTATTTCAGGACTTTGTTCGTATCGGAATTTCATTCGAATGAATGAAACTCCGATCCTATTCGTGGATGCTCACTGTGTTATTTAAAAAAAAATAAAAAAATAAAAAAATAAAAAAGACACACACACACACACACACACACACACCATCCCCCCTCCCCCACCCCTGAGCAGCAAGGTGGGGGAGCCTTAAATGTGAATGTGGGGAGGGGGACCTATTGCCCACCCCCCCCTCACCTCTGAGCAGTGGGTGGTGGCCATACATAACAACAAGGGGGAACCTATTGTCCTCCCCCCAGCTTCCACCCCTGGGTGCTCCGAGTCAAATCACAGGGTGTGGGAAGGCTTTATAAGCCTTTCCCCACCCTGCGGAGATCAGTCTGCACCGTGCCCTCGCCGGGTGAAGATGGATTAACTTTTTAGCGTCAGGTTTTTTTCTTTCATTTGATTTATTTATTTTCTTTCGACTGGCATTATGCTTTTTATTTGGCCTTTTTTGGGGCTGAAAAATTATGATTTTAGAAACAAGATGACATCAAATGGTAAGTTGTTTTTTTACAGAAGGTACTTTGTTCTTTTATTCCCCCCCCCTCACTATTTTTAGGGTGAGGGGGGTAGATGGGGGATTATTAAATTTATTTGGGTGGGGGGTGACTAGGGTCTTTGGGACCCTTAGTCCCCTTAGGGGCATTTTCATTTAGGGCCCCCACTCACCGCTCAGAGGTGGAGGCCAGGAGAAGAGGGCCCCCCCTTATTTTTAAGTATGTCCCCCACCCACAGCTCAGGGGTGGGCTCTAGGTCCCCCCTTCAGTTTAATAGCCCCCACTCGCACAGCACAGGTGGGGGCACTTTATTTTTTTAAACAGTGAGCATAGCGAGTAGGGACATTTCAATCTCCCTTATGCTATTATAGAGTGAGGGAGGACATGGGGGGCTTAGGAAGAGGCAGAGAGCACTGACGCATGAATAGATGAAATTTCTGTTCGCATGTTCAAGTGTTTAACTGGGTATGCGCGGGAATTTCCCAGTGCTATCTAGTGTGGGCAGATGATTTTTCCCACAGCGACCTCATCTACCCACACAAATATGGCGGCGACAGGACCTAGGTCCAGAAAAAAAAAAAAAAGTATAGGTAATATGGGGTGGAAGGGGGCTTGTGGGCAGACTAGGAGGTCAATTAGATGTAGTGGAGTCGGAAGGGTGAAAAAAAATTATATATATATATATATATATATATATATATATATATATATATATATATATATATATATATATATGGAAGGCGTGGCCTGAAGTTGTGGGAGGGGCTTGGTTCCCCTTCTTAAGGAGCATCAACCCTTCCCTCATTACCTGTTGGGTCTGGCGAATTGTGGGTAGAGAGATCGTCACTTCCGGTTGTTCTGGCGCCATTCTACTTACCTGTTTCACCGTGGGTAGCTTCCTGGGTCCCAACAAGTGCTGTCCCATCCTGTTCCGCCCGTCTGGCTTCATTTCCTGGCCGGGCGTTTCGCTGCGCTTTCGTTACGGCAAAATCGTAAGTTTACGGCCGTCGCAATTTCGGCGCGGCCGTTTTACGTCATCCTAATTGTACAGTCGCACACGTGGAAACTCTTCGGTAAATATTTATACGAATACCGGCGTTCGGTTTTCTGCATGTATACGCATAGCATGTTACATTTTTAATTCGTATAGGGCAATTCGCTACATTCATATTATGCCCGTTCGTTTGCCGAAAGCTGCTTCACTTTATTGTTACAACTTGTTGTATGCCCTAGGGCGACCTCTGGTGGCTGGTTCATTGTCACTGATTTCTCTCTCAAAATACATTCCACGACCCCTGGTGGTTATTAAAGTTATGGCAGCTGGTACAAGTAAATGATATTTTCAGTTATGATTATAAGATATCTTATGCTGGTTAAAGTTTGTTGGGCAAGTCGTTAAATATGTTTTATTAATTAAATTGAACAATGCATTTACACTCAGTCACCTTATGACTATTTCGTATGCCGAATCTCTAGTCTTGTATGTGGTATAATTATGATATGCACTAAGAAGACCACTGGTGGTCGGTTTTCAGTACTTTTAGTTGCTTGCACAACCCTGCTGATCAGAAAGGTTATATTCACGACCTCAATCATTTGTAAGATTACAGTTTCAGTAGTCCAGTGTTGTATGCATTGTATGAGTATCAATATAAGGACATTTTGTCATGACATACTTAACGGTCTATTAATTAGAGACCTCTTGTTTTCAGTGTTCTACATTTATTCCTCTGGGTTCCGCTACCCCACCACTGTTTCACTCTACATAGGTCTGTTCCTATATTTAATTATACCTTCATGGGTCACGCCAGACCAGATTCCTCAAAGATTTTTCTATATTACTAGGTATAAGCATCCTAGCACTTGCGTAGTATTCAGGTCCCAGTCACCTAAACTGTTGGAATATTATTTATAGGTATCTGATCAGCAGGGGGTCAAGGGCTACATATTTCAACCCTTACGAACTCATGTTAATCTCGTAGGTTACTACAGCTCACCTGGGTCACGTGTCCTACTTTCTGCAAAATTCACTACTAGTGAAGTACTACTGGTAGGTATCAGATTAGCTGGGGATTTAGGGGCACAATTTCGTTTTATTTTACCCATACAAACGTCAATTACTCTTGTAGATTACGACAGATCTCCTGTACACTTCTTCTCATACTATCTGGCAACTTACTCAACAGGTACGTCACGTTTCGACTACTTCTCCCTCCCTACCTACCTTTAGGGTTTATACAGATACTGGCAAGAAATAGGACCCACTAGGTATGTTTTTCTGGCCTTCTACGCCTTACGTTAGTGGTCCCGCGAGGCCTACACCCATCCTCAATTCGGAGGTACGGCATCCCCTCGGGCCCATTCATAGCTAGCCGCCTCACTTAGTTGCATAGAGAGGGCCTCACTTGTCACTCCCATTCTGTCTTATGCCTTTACAAGTCACAGAGAGGCCACCACCCTGCCATAATGCCAATGGCCACGTATCCCACACGCGCCAAATCATAGATAGTGCCTCTCAAGGCCGCTTGGCCACTAGTAGGGCCTCATCTGTCACGTTGCTTGATAATTCTTCGCCGCTTGGCATTTAGTGATCAATAGCCAGTTGGGTAGCCCCAGATAACATACTATTTTATGTTGTAGCATGTCACAAGTTCCTGAAGAAAGGGA